GCAGCATCCGGTCAATTATAAAAGAAGATGGTACTCTCGGTCTCTTGACTGGACGCAGGTGACCGGACGCAGGCTGAACACTATTCAGCGTCTGGTCATGATGATGTGGCAGTGCACAGAGAAGATCGTGAGTGACCGGACGCTGGGGCGCGTCCTATCGGGTGTGACCGGACGTGACCGATCGCGAGTGGAACCTTAATGGAAACGACCGGACGCTGGGTCCTACGTCCGGTCACTTTGAGCAACGCATCCGGTCACAACTTAAATGTTCTGATGACCGTAGAGATCGGACGATCAGTATTTGAAGCAGGTGCCACGTGGCGGGCATCGCACGACCGGACGCTGGGGTCCTGCGTCCGGTCGATCTGACCAGCGCGTCCGGTCGCCTCGATTTTCAGTGGACTGAGGAGCCAACGACTCTATTTTGTGGAGGCTTCTATTTAAGCCCCATGACCGGCTCAAGCTCACCCACTTGGTCATTTGCATTGACATAGCAACCTTGTGAGCTTAGCCAAAGCCCTCCCACTCATCTCCATGACTCCATCATTGATTCATCATATTTGTGAGATTGAGAGAGAATCCAAGTGTATTGTTTGAGTGATTGCATCTAGAGGCACTTGGTATTCATGTTTCGCTGTGGGATTCACTTGTTGCTCTTGGTGGTTGCCACCACCTAGACGGCTTGGTGCAACGGAGGAGGATTGGCACGAGTTAGTGATTGTGAGGGGACTTGTGCCTTCCCCGGTGGAGCGCCGAAAGGTAACCCTAGTGGATTGCTAATGTCATTGAGTTACCTCACTTGTGGGTAGGTTCTTGCGGTGTTTAATTGTGTGGACGAGGTTCGTGCAACACCTCTTAGCCGCCGAATCACCAAGTGTTGGTCGACACAACAGGGACATATCGTGTTGGCAAGCACGTGAACCTCGGAAGAAAATTGGTTGTCTCTTGCCCTTTGGTATTCTTTCGGTGATTGATTTAGTATTCATCTTGTGATTGGTTCACTCCTCTACACGGTGGTATAATTACCCTACTCACTCATTTATATTCTCGTAAACTAGTTGTAGGAAACTCTTTAGTGTAGTTAGAATTGAGAACTTGTTTTGTAGTTTGAGTTCATCTAGCGAAGCTCTTTAGTGTAGCAAGTGTGAGAGCTCTTAGTGAGTAGTGACTTAGCAAATTATGTGTCTAGTGATAATAGCAAATAGAATTGTTGGATAGGTGGCTTGCAACCCTTGTAGAGCTAGAGCAAGTTTGTATTTCGCTATTTGTTATACTAATCAAATTGCTTTACTTGGTTTGTAGATTTTTAAATAGGCTATTCACTCCCTCTAGCCATATTAGGACCTTTCATCCTTCAAACGAGAGCCCCCTGATCTCCAACGGCTAACTCACTCCCGCGCTCGCGTTAATGAAGGACCGGATGCACCGATCAAGAGCTCGGACGCGCCTGCCCTGTGTCAGATCAATGAAACCACGCCCGCTGCACCAAATGACCGGACGCGCCGATCACTCTAGCCACCGTGTGTTAGGTCAACTCCAGAGAGGTTCCAGAGCGCCCAACACGCGATCAGACGCGTCGGGTCCACCAAGACCGGACGTGCCCCAACATTCACTCGCCCTTCACCTCGCTGCGCGCCACCACATCATCAGACGTCAGCTTGACCAGACGCACCAGCTTCGCGTCAGGTCGCCGTTTGCCTCAGCGTTCGGTCAAGCACCAGACAGAGGCCGAGCGCGCCAACCTTTTTATAAATGACCGGACTTACTGACCCCGCGTCCGGTCAGTTCGAGCACAGCGTCCGGTCACTGATTTTTAGTGAAAATCAACTCCTCCACTTCACTAACTTCTCCACCCTTGCTCAAACGTGCTAACCACGAAGTGTATCACCTTGTGCACGTGTGTTAGCATATTTTTTATAAACATTTTCAAGGGTGTTAGCACTCACTAGAATCTAAATACATATGCAATGAGTTAGAGCATCTAGTGACACTTTGATAACCGCATTTCGATATGAGTTTCGCCCCTCTTAATAGTACGGTTATCGATTCTAAATGTGATCACACTCGCTAAGTATCTCGATCACAAAAAAAAAAGCTCATATCAAGTTTCACTTTTGCCTTGAGCTTTTTGTTTTTCTCTTTCTTCTTTTCCAAGTCTAAGCACTTGATCATCATGTCCACACCATCATCATGATCTTTATCATTTACTTCACCAATTGGAATGTGCTACCTATCTCATAATTATTTTGGTAAACTAGGTTAGCACTTAGGGTTTCATTAATTCACAAATACCAAACTAGAGCTTTCAGAGGGCTCACTCTAGCCCACCGCTGCCATGCCCGAACCAAGCACCCGCATCACTGCAACGCTGCACTGGGGCCCGCTTGCCTCACGTCGCCGTGCTACCGCCCGAGCCTTTGCGCCGCCACGGGGAGAGGAAGGCCACCGTCTCTTGCAGTTGGCACCGCGCGGATCCAGCACTAGGACGGCGGGATCTGGCTGCTGGGGAAGGGGATCTGCCCCGAGCCGCCGCTGTCACCACTCCGGCGACGCCCGGACCTCTGTCGCGGTTGGAGAAGGGCAAAGGCCGGAGCATCGAGTGGATCCGGCCCTCCGGCCTAGGGACTGCCAGATCCGCCCGCCGAGACAAGGGATCCGGCATCAGTCGCCATTGTCGCCGCCTCGTCCGAGAAAGATGGTGCCCACAAGACAAGCTCGCGTGAGGGAGAGAAGAGGTCCCGCAGCCGCCGTCTTTGCACCCGCAAAGTCTTGTTTGGCTGATGATTTTTGTGGCTAAAAAATATTGTTTTGTCTGATTTGTGTGAGAGAAAAACACTATTCTACGATTGAAAAGTAGAATTGATTCTTACGGATAAGGTCAAGCGTAGCCTAGCATTGTGCGGCGCCCGGAGGCCAGTGCGTCGGTGTTTCTGTGACTCACTCGGAGGCGCCTGTGAGCCCGTGAAGCGAAATCTTTACTGCTTCGGGCTAGGAATCTACCGAGCGTGGAACGCGTTACCACCGCGGTGGAGAGTGAAATTCCGGGAGGGCAACCTAGGACCTATAGCACGCTCGCGTAGTCGAGTAGAGTTAAGAGTAGGGTCAGAGACGGACAGGACGAACTTGGCGAGAGCAGAAAGGTGCAGATGAAGATTGAAGAATCCCACCCAGGGAACCCACGAAGCGGTCCCTACCGAAACCCAATCCAATCCAATCCGATCCGGCCTCCGCGGCGGCCAAGATATTTTCGGGCCACCACCACCAGCAGCAGCAGATAACAGCGACGACATGTAGAGCGACGGAGTGGGTAGAGTTCCTTTCATCAAGGGTCGGGCAAGCAAAACGTCGGCGTCACGGTGTCGCACGTCCCTCCATCTGTTCCGGCTCCCGCCTCCACCGATCCATCCGCTTCTCCTCCCCCTCCCAACTCCCGACTTCCGACTTGCCGAGCCGACGAGGTACCGTGACGGCGACGCCTGTTTTGTTTACGCGCACCCGTGACGCCGACGGTGACCCTCCCCCAGGGCCCAGGCCCTGTCCCTTTGCCCCATGCACGTACTGCTCGCCACCACCCACGCTCCCGATGCCTCCGTCCGTTTGGGGTTGCGTCCTCTCTAATCCTTCACCTGCCTGCTGTCATGAATTCATGATTGATTATTACGCTAACAGTAGTACTTACTACCAGTACCAGTACCGGGATCCGTTGCTCCGCCTCCACGCGGTGGTCTAGCGTTGGGTACTTCGGTTGGCGCGGCCGGCGGCCATGCGTGTTCTTCGTCGCCCAGGACCGGGACTCCTCCCTACACGCAACCGCGCAACAGCGATGGCTTCTCACTTCTCGGCCCGTGGTTTCTTCTGCCCGTCCGGTGTGCACGGCTGACTGATCCGGTAACAAACCGAAAACTAGATGGAAAATAATCGAGCGCTGGCCTGGCCTGTCGCGCAGCTCATGACAAACAATATTTCCAGTTTCTCGAAAAAAAATATTTCCATTCTTTAAAAAGACAATATCTCTCATAACAAACAACTCGCATTATAAAACAAAAAATAAAACGGAAATGCTATAGACCGGGCGTCCGGGCGGTTAGACGCACCGTTCTACAGACCGCTCTATACTCGCACTTCAGTTCCCCCGCTCCGCCCGCTGCCTCCACTCGCTCTCTCGCACTCACTCCGCCCTCTCCCCCACACTCGATCTCTCCTCCACCGCTCCTCCGCCCTCTTTCATGACGGCTCTCCGGGCCGTCCCCGGGACAGGGACACCGCGCGCCGCGCCCGCTCGCCCGTGCTCCCTTCCTCCCTCCGTCCCTCGCCCTCCGCGACCTCCATGCACCTCCACTCTCCCTGTGACCTGCTCCTCCCAGGTGAGCGAGGACGACAAAGTGGCGGCTCACGAGGTAGCTCATGGAGGATATGGATCTGAGCCTCCTCCTCCTCCTCCTCTGGATCCGGCCGATCTAAGGGATGCGGTCCTCCTCTACTAGATTTGAGCCCTCCTCCTCCCGGATCTCAAGCATGCTGCTTTGGCTTTTTTGTTTCAATGAAGATTTCGAATGTTGCAATAGGATTTTTTGGGTTGTTACACTATTTTTTTATGATATTGCAGATGATTTTCTTGATGTTGCAATATATTTTTTTGAATGTTGTTGCAATAATATTTTTATGTTGTAGTACACATTTTTTGATGTGTTGCAGATATATTTTTTGAATGTTGCAACATATGTTTTTCAATATTGCAAGATACATTTTTTTCGTTGTTGTAGTAGATATTTTTATTGTTGCATCAGATTTTTTTAGATGTTGCAGTGCATGTTTTTTCGATGTTACAGTACATACTTTTTGTTTGTTGCAGTAGATATTTTTCGTTGCTGCAGTAGATATTTTTCGATGTTGCAGTGTATGTTTATTAATGTTGTACTATATTTTTTTTTTGATGTTACAGTTGAGGAAGAGGGACGTGAGCACGGGGGAGGGACAGGAGGGCATCGTCGGGGAGAACGATGCGGTGGTCGTTCCTGCGGGGGGACGACGCGGTGGGGTGGATAGGGGGCGGGGATGAACGGATGGCGATGGAGATGATGGACGAGGTGAGGATGGCGATGTGAGATGTCTGATGTGCGCGGGGGCATCCCGATAAAAGCGGGCTCAGTTGCGAGCGATGGGGACAAGGTTAGGGATGGCGAGGGGTTACTGGACGAGGGACATCCAGGGACAACAGCGCGAGCGCGAGCGTCCAACGCTGACGCTCGGAACGGACGTCCGGCCGCGCTAGCAGTTGCCAAAATAAAAGCAAAAGAGCGGGCCGTGTGGATAAGACCGACGGCACATGACTTCACCACTCCCGATCCCCACCCGCAGGCCGCAGAGAGACGTCGCTTTAATTAGCGCTCATCACCCTCGCCTCCCAGCGTAACAAGTGTCCTTCCTCCTTCGTCCTCCTCTGCCCTCCTCCACTCCCACCACCCCCAACTCCGTCTTCAGTTCACTGCGGCGCGGGGCTTCGCTTCGGATCGGCTCGAGCAGGTAAAGCAGCGGCCGAACCCACCCCACTTTGCTTAAGCCTAGGCTAATCGGATCGATGCCCCAACCGTGAACTGCCTGCTCTGCAAGCAGCAAGCCTAGAGGCGTCATGATAGGTGTTTCTGATGGAACTAGTGTTACATAGCTTTGGATCGGTAAAGCTAGCCGTGCGTTCTTTCTTGTTCTAGATTTCTACACACGGGCTGATCTGTTCCTCTTAAGCTGTAAAGGAATGCAAGCAGCTCTGCTCGCCCGTTTCGTACCAAAAGAAAAAAGAGAGAGGAGTTTCTGGGCAAGTAAAGCTAGCTCGACGTTTACTGTGGTCTCACTTTGTGAGAAGACAGAAGAGTATTCTCTTCTCTTTGTTCCTCCCCTTGATTTCTGCACGATCTGCTCTGTTCCTCTGCAAGCAACTCTGCTCGTGGTTAATATAGCAAAAGGTGATAGTTTTTTTTAGGCAAAGAAAATAAGTGGTTTATATAGCAAAAGGTGATAGTTTTTTTTAGGCAAAGAAAAGAAGAGAACACCGCGCTCTAGCAAATGGGATGAAAGACTATGGAAGAGCTTGTTTTACTTCGTTTATCTGGCTATTCAGTGCCTGATATGTCCCTTCTCTGCTACGGGTTTCCAGGTTTTCATTTGTTAGGCTATTTATAGGTGAGGCACCGTATCTATGCCTTCCATTTGTTATCTTTATCGGTGCACATAGACTGCTTATTCGTTTTTAACTTTTTACCCCTTGCAGTAGATATAGATCGAGTTTTTATCTAAAGCCTCTCATGGAGAGATGGAGTTTACCTTCTTTCTTTTGTTTTTCGTTGGTTCTGTTTAGTTCTTGTCGTTTCGAGATTTCAGCTTTGTATCGATGAGGCCTGCTGCATTAATTATTTTTAACCTTTTTTTTCTTCTGTACAAGTTAAAACGAAAAAACTCTACTTGGCTCAGTTTTTTTCCCCGAGGCGGGCATGGCACCTAGATTTTCACTTTATGATTCGATTGTTCGTTTGATTCTTGTATCTGCAATGATTTCATAAACCCGAATTAAATGTCATGGAGGCAGTCGAGTGCATGGGAGGAGTTCAGCGTCCTGAGTGGAGACGCCATTATTCGGATTCTCTGTTTGGTGGTGATTCCTTATTGGTTTGATTGTGACATAAAACCGAATCCAATGTCATGGTGGGCTCAATTATCAGAAATCCAGAATACAGGCCTGCCAAAAGGTGTCTACGCATACTACCTCTCTGCGCCCAAGCTGAATATATATAGTTTTTCTGAGTGGCACTGTGGCTGGCTGAATATCGCTAACATATTCCTAATAGTATTTCAGCACAGATGCTGATTTATAGATAGAATATGGCATGTCGTCGTGTTGCTAGCAAGATGAAGTATTTGTTCTGTTCTCTACTAGTGGTGTGTGTAAATGTTTTCTTCTTCCACTATTTATTGGTCAGAAAACAAAGTGATATGCTAGACATCCCTTTCATGGTGGCGGCAACTTGAAAAACTAACTGCCTTTAGTATTGTGTTCCCAATAAGATCAGGATAGGATTTTCCACTCTGATTAAGATAGGATTTGTTTGTTTATGCAGAACAGTACAATGACTGCATTATTGATGAAATGCTTTCAATTATCCAATCATTGTTGTTGCTTCCTTCCCAATTCTTAGTCTAGACCAGCTCATGGCAACAACCTTATTTTAACCAAGCTCACCTCATCGTTGTTAAATTGAGATCAAGCAATAAGTATTTGCTCATTTCCCTGTCTCTGTTTTCCTTTGTACCGGACTCCCCCTACTTCTGATAAGGTGAATTATTTGGCGCAAATTAATCAATGACCTTGACTGCCTGCTTGCTCCTTAATGATATATGTTGGTAAAAACTTACATTAATATATATGACATGCTAATATCTCTCCATTTGTTTTACTTATACTATGAAATGTTTAGAGTTGGATGTAGTTTTGAGGCTGATGTCTCCAAGTTCTAATATTCTTGGAAAGCAGTTTGTGGCATTGTCTTGTAGTTTTGAGGATAATGTTGTTTGTCACGGATTCTATGCTGAACATCTGTTGTCTGAGATTTGGTTTAGCGCACTATTCATAAGTTGAGCATTTAAGGCAGGAAGCAAATTGATATGATGCAAAAAAATCATATTTGAAATCATTTATAGTTCAAAATGAAGTGATTGCTGCTTTTGATTTATGATATGACACAGAAGAAAATGCAACGGGCAGTGCAAGCCGTCAGGTCACATGGCAATGTGCTTAAATATGCTGTTCTACAACACATCAGCGCTCCCAAACCAGCAATGCTTCCTGCTGTCTTTTCTCGTTTCATGTCAGTTTCATCTGATCGCCTAGAGGATAGTGGATTTGAAACTGCCACTGTATCAGATGTCTTGAAGTCTAAAGGGAAGAGTGCTGATGGATCTTGGCTCTGGTGCACCACAGAAGATACTGTCTATGATGCTGTCAAATCGGTATGTGTTCACTTCGTGATGGTCATATTAACTCCTTTATAGTCAACGGTTATGCATCAAAGATAAACAACCTACCTTTTGGTACCTTACTTAAACCTTTTACAGATGACGCACAACAACGTGGGAGCTTTGGTGGTTGTCAAACCTGGAGAGGATAAATCAATTGCTGGCATTGTCACTGAGAGAGGTAATGAACAAATTTCTGTACTCTTGGCATCTAACTCATGACCTGTGGGTATGATGGGAAAATACAAAATCATATACCACTGCCTGCATTTTCAATTAACTGGCACCCTTGACCAAAATTTTCTGTTTATAAATACTTGATTTACTATTTTCAATGCATATCTTCAAAGAGTGTCCCTTAACTTTTACCTCATTGTGCTTTAGATGGTAGAGGTGCACTGTAGTAATATTCTATGAAAATTATGACCGCCAAGAGTCAATTATCAGAAAACTTGAGGAGAAAATTATTGTACTAATAAGATAGAGCTAGTCAGCTAGTGCTTGTAGCTTGCTATTTGAAACAATGGCGTGAGGTGTTTCCCAATTCTTTCTCTCTGTCTACATATTGAGAGGTGTTGCCTTTTCCTGTTCTTTTTATTGGAAAATAACATTAGATGCAAAGCCTTATTACTGCCCCTTTATGGTGATATTAACATATAAGAAACTCTTAACACATTGGAAAGGAAAGTATTAAAAGTTCTACTGGTAGGTTGTGAATGTATAACTGCACTTTGTTTTTGCTTCAGCAGTGCATCATAGTCCTTTTGGCATTCAAAGAGTCTTAAGTCTTAACTCTTCAGAGCACTTTATAGTTGATACAACAGAAAATACAGCAAGTTAAAACATATGTGGTAAGTAACATAGGATTTTATTCACATGGCACAACAATAGCCGCCACTTTACACTGAATTTCCTATTAGAGATGTATAAATAACTACCCTGAATTGTTGTATTCTTGTATCACAAGATGTACTCGGCTATATATATGAAGTTCACCGCCCACAGTGGGTGTGAGGGTGTTTCCCGATTCTCCTGTCTACATTTCCGTCAGAAAGTTATGCATGGCGATTTAGTTTCATGTTCAGAGAAATTTCAGGGGTAAAAACTAATAAGAAAGTGTAAACTTCAAGCCATTTATTTGCATGCCATAAACTTCTGATCCTTGACTTCTATATACCATTGGAAATCATTGTGAAGTTCTTTGCATATGATTTTCAAACTGAGCCAACTTCAGGCACACCACATGATGCTTTCTTTTTCATGTACACGCCTTACTAGTTACTGCACTGTTCACCACATTACATCTTGGACGTGAATGTAACCAAATGGTATCCATATACAGTCGATCAGCATACATAGATGGTGTTTTTGAGGATAGAACCAGTACTTGACAGATTTTACATTCTGAAAACGGAAATGGAAGCATGGCAATCTTTTAAGACATGCATAAGATCATAACCATGAGACTAACATCTGAAACCTCGTGTTTTCAGATTACCTCCGGAAAATCATAGTGCAGGGAAGATCTTCCAAGTCAACTAAGGTTGGCGACATCATGACTGAAGAGGTATTATCCCTTGTCATACACTAATCTTGTTTTTTGTGGTTTGCATGATACCTAGAATCTGATTAGCACAGGACCTATACTTGGTGACCATTTGACTATATAAGTACTGAAAGGGTGTTTGGACACAACTTAACTGATGAACCATTATGATGCCAGAACAAACTGATCACAGTGAATCCCAACACCAAAGTCCTGCAGGCAATGCAGCTCATGACAGGTAACCAGCATGTGTTCTTCTGTCAGAAAATACTACTAGAATCGTGACAGCACTGGAATTGATTACGATCCATTGCGTCGTGCAGACAACCGCATCAGACACATCCCGGTGATTGACGGCACAGGGATGTTGGGGATGGTCTCCATCGGCGACGCCGTGCGCGCGGTGGTCGCCGAGTACAGGGAGGAGCTGAACCGGCTCAACGACTACATCCAGGGAGGCTACTAGGACGACGAGTGCATCGACACTCCCCCAGTGAAGTCCGCCTTTGTGAAATCCAATAACTCGGAACAATAATGATGACGAAATAGGCCGTGTTTTCGTGGACAATGCTGTTAAGTTGGGCACGATTTTCCTTTCTTTTTTCCCCGCGTGTTCTATGTGTATAATATTGCCAAAGGCATGCGTGAGCAATGCGCCCGGTGCTGTTCTGGGGCGCAAAGACGATCTGATGGTGGAAACACCGGAAATAAAAAGCGTGCCGCCGTGTGCTTCCCTCCAAGGAATGAAGGATGTTCGTGTCTCGGTCCTCGTGAATTGTTTATTGTTGTATATGTTGTCTGCTGCAGTTGTTGCGGAGTCCGTAAAGGCGTCTGGTATGGATTTCTGGAGACTGAATTGATGGTACGTAGTCACGCCGACGAAGACAGAAGGTGAAACGGAATTGGAGTAGCCTTTGCGTCAGTTCCTCCCTTGGGGAGACGGTCGTCCTAGCCTCGTAGGCGTTCTGAGCGTGCCGATGTTTGCCTGGTTGACCCTCAAGTTGAATAGCTCAGCGCTAGGTTCGTTTGGGCTGGTTTAACTTATAAGCCATGGCTGGAAATACTGTAGACTGGTTTGGTGTGAGAGAAAAATATTATTTATTGGCTGATAAGCCATGGCTTATAAACCAAATATGATCAAGCGAACTTGCTGCAGCTTGTTCAGGCTTTGCCTTGTTGACCCTCAAGTTGAATAGTCCAGGGCTTCAGGCGTTTGCTGACTTGTTTTGCTGTTGCAATTAGTCTATAAAAGTTGATGGGTCTTAGTAGCCAAGTTTAATTGTTCGTGGTCTAAACCGACGCCTGATGGGAGGTGCCGAAAATTCATCGTGTTCGTCAAATTGGCTTCTCCAGTGTCTCAGTCTCAGGATGCGAGCAAGTCATCGCAACGACACTGTCAGCTGTCAAAAGGCATTGTTCATGCATCCCACACGTCTGCAGAGCAACACGTGACCAGAGCTGATTAGTACAAGGCAACTTCGTTGGTGCACTTGTTCTAACATCGTACAGCTGCTAGCTCTTCAGGCGGCCAGAGCTGATTTTGCTGTCAATATCGACAGCCTCATTGTCATGTCACCAAGGGAAGAAAACATCCCTTAAATGCTTGGATCATGCTGATGCCGAACTGGATCGCAAATTAGGGATGGTATTAAATGGCCGAAACTGATAGGCAACAGGCCACTAGCTGCTGTTCTGCTGCAAACGCTGGAGCCACAAAAAAGATCCGCAGAGCAATGGGGCCGACAAGTACTGTTAGCCCACGTTCTTGCCACTGATTATGTCTCCAAGTCATTATCTTACACTCAAAACGATTTGTTAAATAAAATCACACTAAGTCTCACACAAGTCAAAAAGAGGAGGAAAAAAACTACAGTAATAAAGAACTAAGTCAAAAAGAGGAGGAAAAAAACCAATAAAGAACTAAAGAGGCGTAATCCCGTAACTTTACGGCGCGATCCAAATCGATGGAATCGTAACCATGTCGTCACTTGCCGTGCAACGAAAGCAAGAGGTTGCAATAGATCAAGTGCTCGGAATAAAATTGACTAGCAATTAGCCAATGAATTGTAATTTGCCTCGATGAATCGCTTCTTGATTGAATAAGCAAGAAAGCTAGCAAGAATTACAACCAATAATCTGTACAATTGATATCCAATTCAGGGAGAAACCGAACTGAACGAAAAGATTTGATGGATTCTGTTCGCCTCCCCTGCTCCCAATCTGCATGCTTCTCTTCCTCGTTCTTGCCAGCGAAGAGGAGGCATCATTGCATTTGGTCCTTGGCGCATCGAATCGAATACTATTAGTAGTAGAATCAGTAGTAGCAGCGGCCAACGGGCGGCTATCGGCGGCCGGCGAGGCGGTTGAGCCAGGCGTTGCGGAGCTGGAGCTCGACGGGGTCGCCGAAGCACTGCACCCGCGCGAGGCAGAAGTGCGTACAGAACCCGGCCGGCGAGCGGACGCGGCAGGTGTCGAGCACGTAGCAAGACGCGCACTCCATGCCGCGCGCCTGCACAACCAGCCCCCACACCTGCCGCGCCGCCTCCGAGGCGGAGGCGCCGCCGTCCGCGGCGGCGGCGGCGGCCACCTGCTCGACCAGGATGATCCCGTCGGGCCTCCGCTGCCCGCCCGGTCCCCACCGGCGCCGCACGTCCGGCCAGCTCTCCGGCACCGCGGGCTCCCGCCGCACCGTAATGCGCTCGCCCTCGCCGTCGTCGCTGCTGAACAGGTGCACCAGGAACGGCGCCTCCCCGATGTGCCGCACGATCTCCGCGATCGACGCCCGCATCCACCCCTCCACCTTCTCCTCCCCGACCTTCTTCAACACCTCATCCTCCTCTCCTCTGCCGAACACGGTCCCCGACAGCCCCTCCTCCTCCTCCCCCCGCCGCTGGAGCTGCAGGCCGCCGCGGGGCGCGTCCGCGACCGCCGCGCGCAGGCGCACAGACGACGACGCCCGCCGCGTCGTCACGGGCGCGAGCGACGCAGGCGACCGCGATCGCGGCCGAGGCAGCGCCACCGACGACGACGGCGACGCTGGCCCGTAGCCCCGCACGGTAGACGCCGCCGCCATCGCGCGCTGCACCACCAATCGGACCGCCCGCGAGCTCCTGCGACAGTTGATGATGATCCGAGGCGCCGGTGTATGGGTGGCGAGACCGGTGGGCAATTCCGAAGTAGAAGTAGCGCGAGCCGAGACGAGTCACCGGCGACGAACGGGTGGTGCGCGTAGAAATAGGTTGAGCGGGGAGCCGGCACGGCAGAGGTCTCCGAACGGCTCTGCAGCGCGCGTGGCGTCCTACGTGGACGCAATTTCGGGATCCCGTGCGGGCGAGGAGGGCCTGTGGGGTGGGGTTGTGGCTGGTCGGTGGGCTGCGATTGGTGCGGATCCGTGCGCGGTGTGATGCGCGGGCGAGGGAGCGTGGCGCGCGCGGGTTCGCGCGCCGCGGCACGCTCCGGCACGCAGCGGGCGGGAGGCGGGAAGGGGTTTGCTCGAGCCACGGTGGACGGGGCGGACAGGTCAGCGCGCCGCGACACGGACACGTCGGACGGGTGGCGGGGTTTCGGCGTTCCGCTTTGCACCACCGACCCGTGTGGGCCTGAACCGGCCAGCGAGCGAACGCGCGCGGCGTGGTCGCGTGGCGGCGTGGGGATCTCGTTTTGCTCGTGATCCTGATGCCTGGCGCGCCCGCGGCGTGAGACACACGGGCCCTCTGGCGTGGGGTTTTGGTCCCCGTGGCCGTGGTGACTGGTGACCGGGTTGTGATACGAAGTAGTCGAGTATGATTCTTCTCTTCCAAATCTTTTTCTAGGGTTGCGTTGGAAAACATCTTTTTCCAAGGCAATCGGTGATACACAAACTCCATACCATCTCAAGTACTATTTTTAACGTGTGTTTATAGCTGTATGGACCATACTGTATGGTGCACGTTTGCGCTAGTATGCATGCCATGACAAACAATTTGAAATGAAGTCAGACCCGCGAACGCATACTCATACCAGTGCCTGTTTAGTTCTCAAAATTTTGCAAATTTTTTCAAGATTTCTCGTCACATCGAATCTTTGGACGCATGCATGAAGCATTAAATATAAATAAAAAATAAAACTAATTACACAGTTTAGACGAAATTCATGAGACGAATCTTTTAAGCCTAATTAGACTATGATTGGACACTAATTGATAAAAAACAACGAAAGTGCTATAGTACCATTTCCCAAAAAAAATCACCAACTAAACAAGGCCCTAGTATAAAATTTGGAGTGATGTCACCTAGTTTCACAATAACAAAACAAATTAGAGGAGTGTGCTCTTCCTTTGTGAATGCATAGGCATGTGCCAAAGAAGGTAAGTATATATAGTAAAAACTTAGTTACAATATTTGATTTAACATTTTTAGGAGGTGCATTTGCACCTCATAGTTACAACGTAGCTTTGCCTCTCTGTCCATATCTTCAAAATGCCAAACTTATGGGGGCATTAACCATTGGAGCTACTAAGGGTATGCTTGATTTCTTAGGGCATGTTCGCTGGGAGGAATTCTAGAGAAATTTGTGAGAGAAAAATACTGTTCTGGATGAAAAAAGAAGTGGATCAAGCCGAACCTAAGAGCACGCGAACGGGGCCTTAGTGAGCTCGTCTTGCCTAACTAACGTTGGTTTCTTAAGCTTACGGAGCAAGCCTAGGCTGGTCTGGCTGGCACAGGTAACGAGAACCTTGCCTAGAGGGACGAGCCAATTTGGCTCTCTGGGCCTTGTTTAGATTGGGGTTAGTAGCACTTTCGTTTGTATTTGATAATTATTGTCCAATCATGGCCTAACTAGGCTCAAAAGATTCGTCTCGTAATTTACAATCAAACTGTGTAATTAGTTATTTTTTATCTACATTTAATACTCCATGCATGTGTCCAAAAATTTGATGTGATGGAGAGAGTGAAAAAACTTGCTATCTAAGGCCTTGTTTAGATTGAAAAAAAATTTCAACCCGATGAATAGTAGCACTTTCGTCTTATTTGGTAAATATTGTTCAATCGTGGACCAACTAAGCTCAAAAGATTCATCTCGTGATTTCCAACTAAACTGTGCAATTAGTTTTTTTTTTTACCTACATTTAATGCTTCCATATAAACGGCTAAAAATTGATGTGATGGAGAGAGAATGAAAAAACTTGGAATTTTGAGGGTATCTAAACAAGGCCTTGGTAAGAGAAAATTTGACCGCACAAGCCCCGAGGTACTCAGATAAAGCATCCAAACAAGCAAGCTTGCTCTATATTCCTGCCTAGTAAGGTTACACAATAATAAGTAAGGAAACTAAACAGCCCCACAAAACTCTAGGAGCTCACCATGAGAGACGAGCCAATTTGGTTGTATGAGTAGCATAGAAAAAATGTTGACGACACATGTCAGCACATGCGTCAAGACCAACTAGCTAGCTACCAAGCACTTCATAATTAGTTTCGCAAATTAGTCATTAGCACATGTCACTGTAGCACCATATTATCAAATCATGGACTAATTAGGTTTAAAAGATTCATCTCACAAATTAATCATAAACTATGCAATTTGTTTCGTAATTAGTCTATATTTAATACTCAATACATGTATCAAACATGCGATAGGACAACGACTAAAATTTAGGAGGAGCAACCAAACACCACATAAGTTTTTTTTTCCCGTACGTACGTACATAGTATACATATACTTACGGCCGGATCCCAGGGTATGCCGTGGACCTACGGGCAGTCCGCCACCATTCGACCACAGGCCTATTCGTAACTAGCGCACTCTTTGATACATAGGGCTGTTACATTTGGTTGAAATTTGGTCTTTGGTTTAAATTTGGTTGGTCTTGATTTTTTTTGAGAGAGAAAACACCTGCTTACCTTGGTTGGTTTGGTTTGAAATTTGGTGAAAACCAATGTCGAATACCGATAGAGTTGGCAACCCTAAATAGGGTGGTTCCCTACTTCCCTGTTTTCTTTTTTTTTCTTTTCTTTTTTACAACGTCCTACTCCCCCCTGTTCCAGCAGCAGTAAGCATGACAAGGCTCAACTCTCCTGGGTCAGAACTCAGAAGCCCACAACCATCAGCCCAGGGCTGACCAAAACCCGATGCCGCTCTTGCACACAACAGGGCCCGGTCGGCCCTCAGCCGTTCCTTTTCCTTGCCCATGAAGGCGCCGCGCCGGCGTGGCTATCGTATCGATCGCCGCGCCGGTGATTCGGTGCACCGCCCAGCGGATTCGGTGCGGCAGACGTACGCGCACGGCCCGGACGCTGCGAACCCCCAAAACATTCCACTTGTCTTCCTCACCTCGTCGACCGAGCTGCCTCCCTTTTTTCCCTTTCCTGCCTTCCTCGGGTGGAGCCGTTACAGCCGTGGAGTAAAGGAATCGCGCCGCAGAACCTTCGACTCCTCGCCACTGGCTGGAGAGTGGAGAGGCCTGGAGTGGACCTCCGATTCCGCACGAAAAGAAAGCAAACCACCCGCAGTTCCGTTCCGCAAGACCAGATCGCCCGCCTCTCTCCTCCCTCCCCTGACCCCTGATCAAATCCAGTGCCGGCGGACGCCTCGACCCCTCCCGTTCCATCCGATCCTCCAGTGAACAGATGGCGTCGCAGTGGGCTGCTCCGCCGCCGGGCTACCCGGCCGGGCACGGGCAGGCGTACGGCAACCAGCAGCTGGCCACGCCGCCGCCTCAGGCCGCCACGGCCGTGGCCGTGTCGGCGACGAGCAACGGCGTGGGCAACCCCTACGTGGTCGTCACCCCCGCGTCCGCGACACCTTCCACCGGCCAGAGTACGCGCCTGAATCTGCTCTTGCTCATCTTTTGCGCCCCCTTCAAGTTGAGAGAAATCCGTCGGCCGGCTTACGTGTTTGTTCGCTTGGATTGGATGCGTTGCAGCCGTCAGGAAGGCGCTGTGCCGCTACGGCAAGCTGCTCGAGGACGGGACCCGCAAGGCCGCCGACGCCACCGGCAACATCTGGCACCACCGTGCGTGCCTCATGCTTTGATACTCTCTCTTTCTCTCTCTGATCGATTAGTCAATCGTCATCATACACTGATACGCGATGTGGCTTCCGATGTGTGATTTGCTGCTTCCTTGATCGACAGTCCGGACGGCGCCGAACATGGCAGACGCGGCGGTGGCGCGGCTGTCGCAGGGAACCAAGGTGTACGCGGAGGGTGGCCACGACAGGGTGTTCTTCCAGACGTTCGGCGCCATGCCCGGGGAGCAGCTCCGCAAGGCCTACGCCTGCTACCTCTCCACCTCCTCGGGCCCCGTCATCGGCATGCTCTACCTCTCCACGGCGCGCCTCGCCTTCTGCAGCGACAGCCCGCTCTGCTACCAGGGCCCTGCCGGCCAGCAGCAAGAGTGCATGTACTACAAGGCAAGTGGAACTGTGGAAGCCTGCCTTTCAGTCTCCTTCAGAAGTTCAGTTCAGTTCAGTTACCTGCAACTGCAAGTTCTTCGGTTCCATGAGACTGACAGAACAAAAAATGGTATTGTGTGCGAAATTTGCCTGCAGGTGGTGCTTCCCCTAAGCCAAGTGATGTCAGTGAACCCTTCTTCCAGCATGCGCAACCGGGCGGAGAGGTACATTCAGATCACGACCACGGATAACCACGAATTCTGGTTCATGGGGTTCGTGAACTACGACAAGGCCCTCAAGAATCTCTACGAGGCCCTGCAGCACCGCGATGTCAACGGCCACCAGCGCAGCTGATGCTGATCAGGCTTCGGTTCGGTCCTACTGCTGCTGTACTTTGTTCATGATGAACTGTGCCCTCCTTTTATCTCGATCTGATGTTCTTGAATAAGAGGAACAACGAAAAATACTGCCATCCTAGTGTGTTTGTGTCGCTAATCTGATCGGCGCAGAGAAAATAGAGATAAAAGCTTTAGCTGCGTCTCTCAAAATACTATTTCTTTCATCCTTGATAAGGTCGCATTTAGCCATCTTTCTCATGGAGTACATTACAGTGCTCCAACCCTGTATGCAAACTGCAACCTTGCAACAGCATATTAGACTTTACACCATAGAAGCCGCTGTTTCCGCATTGGTCATATATGTACAATAACGTTTGTTTTTTTTAGCAATAGAACACATATAGGCTCAGCAAGAAGGCAGCAGCTAAGAATTCTCGCGATTTACAACAACATTAGATAGGAAAACTGTTGTTGCCACGGCGTTCGGTTCTGTATATAGTAGTCTCATATAATCATAATCATGGAGATAGGATTGTATACTAAGCTGTAGCACGGCGTAGCGATGGAGCGCCTTGCTCCAGTGCATCAGGTGTTGGATTGGATCAATCAGCAATTCAGCAGTGGTGTGGGTGTCCGTGGGCGTGGACGGTCTGGTCGATGGAGTCGACGCGGTTCTTGAGCGCGGCGAGCTGGGCCTTGACGCTGAGGTCGATGACGTGCGAGTCGTCGGTACCGTAGCAGACGACGAATCCGGCGATCAGGGACGTGTCCACGACGTTCTCGACTTTGAGGTTGACGAACCCGGTGAGGCGGCGCATCTTGCGCGCGATGAGCTCGGTCTGCCGCGCGTCCAGTTCCACGGCGGAGGTCACCACAACGCGGAGCGCGACCATCTGCGGCGGCGGCGGGGCGCTGGCCTCGGCGTCCGGGGCGACGGGGGTCATGCTGCAGTTCGTGTCCACGAGCGACCGCAGGAAGTCGAGCGTGATCGGCCTGAACGGGACCGGCGCCAGGGCCGCGACCGGGACCGGGACGGACGCGGTGGTCCCGTCGTGCTCGGCGCCGACGTAGCTGCTGGCCCGGCGCAGCGTCTGCGCCTGCCACCTCGGGCAGAGCGCGTGGGACCTTCCCGCGGCCGCCGTGCTCGGCTGCGGCGCCGGCACGCCGTCGAAGCGCACCGACGCCGGCATGAGATGCCCGCTCTCCTTGGCCGCCGGGAACACCGGGTGGCCGCCTGGGTTGATGGGCTGGTTCAAGATGTTCATCGCTGCCCTGCACGGACGCATTCCAGTAATCATTAGACTGCGTCGATCGAACTAGGTCTCTTTAAGCATTCGAGCTACTTGGCATCAGCACAAACGTGCTAGCAACTTGCAATTGCCCACGAAGGTTCGGCAAGAACAATCGGATTTGCTCATTTATACACAGTAATCCAGCTACGAATGAATGAACTAGTTACACATCTAGAGTTCTACTATTCCTATATATGATACAACAGCAAGCACAAGAACAGGAACATATACGATAGCAAGAACTCGAACAGTGAAGCGCGATGGCACAGAGCTAACCTTGGCTCAGCAGCAGCACAAGCAGCTGGTGATCAGAGGGATCGGCAGGGAAGCTGAGGCGAGGGTGGGGAGAAGAAGCAGCCAACGTGGGTAGAGCAGAAGAAGACGGGGGATAAGGTAGCAGCTGCTGCGTTGGCTCGCTAGCTGGCGTCGAGGAGGGGAAGAGGACGGGAGAATTTGGCGTGCACACGATGCGGCCCCGGCAGCCGCACACGCCCCATCCGGGGAAATCTGCGTGCCGGTGCCGGCGCCGCGTCCGCCAATCCCCGAGTGGTCACCGGTCATTCTTCCATCACGAGCCCCGCCTCCTATCGGCTCTGTGTTCCACGCGCGCGACGGGGCGTCACGGTTTTGGACGGCCGCGCCTCGCGCCGGGCCCAGCCTTCCGGGTCCGGGCCACCTCATGGAATGGAATGCAGGAACGATGCATGTGGCCACCACATGGAGCTCTGCGTGTTGCGGCCGGGACATGTGATTTTTATGGCTCGCCTTGTTATTGTTAGCGAGTACGATGGAGTGTTGTTCCCTGGCGTCGTAGCCTGCCGGTTGTAGATTCGGATCGTTTTGCGAAAAAAATCTCCGTCTTGTTTTTGAGGGGCAAAGATTAGATTCTGATTTCATCTTTTAAAAAAAATCAGTTGTTCTCCAACTGTGCTCGCAAAATTTCAGAAGGCTTTTCTTTCCGTGCATAAAGGAGAAGTGCCGTAAATATTAATGAATGAATGTGTAATTTTCCCCTTTTGTCAGCAACAATTCTCAGCCATTGGGCCATGATTGTGATATTACTGACACTTTCTTTCTTATTCTTCCTTTTTTACTAAACTTTGTACTCCTACCGTAGCAATTGAACTCGCGCTCCATCTCCCACCTCTTCTCACTTGCTAGCGAATTCATTTTAGGCCTCGTTTAGATTCATTTTTTTCATCTCTCCATCATGGTTAAAGGTAGATAAAAAAATAACTTATTACATAGTTTGATTGTACATTACCATCCCTCACCGTCCCAGCATCCTTCTAAACCTGGCATGATTAAAGGTTAGTGGGTGAACAACCATCCCTCACCGTCCCAGCATCCTCTAAACCTGGCGCCAAGTGAACAAACTTGGAAGCTGAGTTCCCTCCCCCAACCTCGCCCTTGGCCTCTATTCTTCTCCGGCGTACTAGTTAACATGAGTTCAATGAGTTTGAGACTTCGGTCATTTAATTTCCAGGCACTGTGAAAGAACAGAGGCCTCGTTTGTTTCGTTGAAATTTAACAGCTGTTAATGCTGATTTGGTGTGAGAAAAAATATTATTCATTCGTTAAAAAGTACTAGAGACATTCGTGTCCCGTTTTTCACGTGGTCCAAACATCAGCAGCATTTTTCACTTTCTTCCGAACCTATATAAACGCGTCCACGGTCCACATCACTGTTGTTGTGTAAGTTTGCCACCGGCGGTAATGCATCCAGTAAATCATCAAGTACAGCTGCAGATCATGGACTTTTGGCCTACACTCTTGCATTTGGCAGGCTGCTTTACTCCTTCACCTCGCACTGGAACCCAATCGGCACTTTGCATTAGGTCACCTCAAGTCTTCAGAGAGCGGAATGGACTGTGTCACTGTATGAGGAAACGGCCGAGATGCAGGGCCGAGCCGTCTGGGCTTCTGGAATCTGTTGATGGCCTTATGGGCCAAAAACTAATTGTTTGTTTCTTTCAGGGCTGTGTGTGGGCGTGTGGCTGATGAATTGGAGTGAAGTACGTAGTGAACACTGGAGCATGAATACTGCTGAGTCTCCTAGTGGATTATTAGGACAGAGTCGCAAAGCGGTTAACACTTAACAGGGCAGCTCCAGATTATCTGCCACAGTAGATCGTACTCCGTATATAACAGCATCACCGGAGGTTTCTCAGATTCAGATGCGAGGAATCAGCCAACAATGTTGATTTCCTAGTGATGAGAATTAACAACAGGACAAAACAGAGCAACGGAAAATTTCCTTACTTTGGGGTCAAGGAGCAAATGACAAGAGCGTACCAGCAACGATTTGGCACAGATATTGGGAACCCAAACAGTAACAAGCACCATACAATCTCATGGTAATGTGAATTTTAAATTTGAACTGCCAAGTGCTTAGTTGATTCACCAAATCTCATATCATACAATACAACCCAGTAATAAGAGTCTTAAGAGATAGGAATTGCAATTAACGGTGGTATCATCAGCTAAATGTGATGCATACAGAAACATTCAGGCTCAAATTAACGAATACGAAATCAAACAACGAGACACAACCGCAGAGTGTCCTGACATTAGAACCCCAACGAATTCGAACCCCTCATTTTTTTTTCACAATTCACAACCCCGGGCGTTGTTCCTCCAATCACAACTCGATCAAGACCTCCTGAGGCTGGTGGCGATGGGCACGATGACGAGCAGGACGAGGAGCAGCAGGATGATGATGCCGATGCAGAGACACTTGCGGCTGCTCCGCTGGTACTCCTTGGCCTTGCCCAGCTCCTTGTTGCCGCCCTGCACGTAGTGGGAGGCGTTGGCGACGTGGCTCTCGATGTCGTCGAGCTTCTCCCCTGCATCTCCACCATGACGGCCATGTCGAGGAACACCTGGTGGAGCTCCAGGAGGCTGCGCTCCACCTCGCGCGCCGCGTCGTGGCGGTCCTGGATCTCGTGCACCGCGGCGAGCACGGCGCCCTTGCCGTGCTCCGCGACGGCGGCGCCCAGGAGCTCCTCGCCGCGGCCGTCGGAGATGATGCGCTCGATCACCTCCTCCTCGGGGACCTCCCCGGTGAGCGTGTAGTAGCGCCGCTCCACGGTCTCCTTGTACTCGGACATCATCCGCTGCCGCAGCGCCTGGAAGTCGAGCATGAGGTCCTTGAGCTTCTTCCGGAGCCCCGCGGTGACGGCGGTGCGCGTGCGGTCTAGCGGCGTGCCCTCGCGGCACCCCGCGGAGAGCCTCCGCTGCGCGGCGTTGGCGCGGTCTAGGGACTCGAGCCTGGCGCGGATGTCGCGGGCGCGGCGGAGCACGGCGATGATGTCGGCGTTGACGCGGCCGTGGTGCGCGCGGAGGGCGTCCGCCTGGTGCAGCGACTTGCCCTCCTCGTTGGCGGCGTGCAGGCGGTCGAGCGCGTCGCAGATGGCCGCCATCTCCGCCTTCACCGCCTCCGCCTCCTCGAAGAACCCGCGCAGGCGCTCGTCCGTGACGCCGCCGGCGCCCGACTCCGGGAGCTCGATCCCGTCGCCCCCCGCCTCCAGGTCCTTCATCGCCGCCTTCTTCAGGTCGACGTAGCTCATGAAGGACTTGGTCATGAGGTCGTTCATGGCGCCGATCTCTGGATTGCCTCTCCCGCTCTCTCTGTGTATGGCTAGGGTTTCGCGGTGGTGGAACGAATCGGCGGGCAAAAGGAAGAGCGATCGGGGGCCGGGGGATGAGAGGTGAGAGGAAGGGGAGGCTTTAAACTCGCAACGGTCAACATGGAGCGGGGTGCACGGGAATAGAGCCGTTGGGCGAGGCGGTGGCCGGGGAGGGAGGCGATGCAGGGCAACGGCTATGAGATGATTTTCCCCCCTTCTTTTTTTTGGAAAAAAAAAAGATTTTCCCCCATCGTTGCAACGGTTACCGAGCGTGATGCGATCGATACGGGGACAGGACGGGAACGAACGAATGAAAGAGATGGGTACCCTGCTCACTGACATGTATGGCCCACTGTCATTGGGACAGTATCAGGTTTGCTCACCTTGGCCGTCCAGATACGATCGAGCAGCCAAGAACAGATGAACGGTGATTAGTTCTGTTTCCCAGCGATGAAACCTCTCTTATCCCTTCTGGTCCGGGAGACAAGGAACGGGCGCGTCCGTGCTCGCGCCACTCCTCGCCGATGGCGTCCTCCACTCTGCCAGCCTCCCTTTCCGTCCGTCTCTTCCCGGACTTCAGGCCCCGGACCCTGCTAAGCTTAAGCACGTATCCGTTCGAACCCCCGTTCGCCGTCTTCCCGTTTTAGCCTCCGCAGCACCGTCGGGCGCCGCGGCGGCGGCGGCGAGGGAGCGCAGGCGCTTCCTGGAGCGCTACGGGCTCAACCCAGATGACTTCGAGGAAGATGCAGAGGAGGATCCAAGGGTTCGTTTCAATTAGTTTGAACTTAATCGTAATGATTGGCGCTGCGGATTGGTGTGATTTTGAGTGGGATTTTTTCTTTGGCAGGAAGAGAGGAGAGACAGGCGGAGGCGGCGGCAGTCGGGGAGAGGGGAGCAAACTGCGGAAGCGGCAGTGACTCCAGCGAAGGCGGCGGAGCCTCGGGAGACTCACAAAATGCTTCAGGTTTGGACGGAAACTGTTCCTTTGCTTTGGTTGTGTAATGTAATGTCAGCAGTTATTATATCAATCTAGTACTCTTCAGAATCACACAAAAATACGATTCCATTTAGTGCAACTGTGCTTATCATTTGGACTTGCATGTCTGTCGCATCCATTTGCACGCAGCCTCCATTGATTCATTAAGGTGCAAGGGGCTTCACTTTTAGACCCAAAACATCTGAAGATCAGTGTGTAGGGCATGTAGTTTAGAGTCCCCTATGAGCTATGTAATTGATCAGCCATTTGTTTTAATGGTGCTAGCGACATGGATTAAGATAGTTTGACTTACAGCCTGCACTGATTTATCTAGGTGGGAGGGATTTTGCTTTTAGACCCGATCCAACTGAAGATTAGCGTGTATTTGTTGTAGTTCAGTGTCCCGCATGAGCTATATAATTGATCAGCCATTTGTTTTAATGGTGCTAGAGACATGGATTAAGCTTTAGAGAAATCTAAAATCTGCTTCAACTGTCTTCTATGGTGTGATTGATAGACTGGATAAATAGTAATATTGATTAGTATCTCTGTATTTAACTAGCATATATTGCCCCTTTCTTTAAGCAAATAATACTATCAATTTTGAGCTGATAAAAGTGATGCATCTTGGCTCCTATCACATGCCATGGACCTTATAGTGATTTATACTTATATGTAAGCCATACAAACTGTTGAGCTTGATGCAGGTATGTTGTATTGGCCTGTACACATATTATATTCGTGTACATGGCTGAAGAAAGCAATTTCTCTCCCATCTTGTCATTCCGTTAAGTATGTAAAAAGTTGCAGCTTCTGAGAAAAGGGTGTCCACCTGTTGATGTGCTATTGTGCTTGTCCAAATAAAAAGGTTCTGCTTGTTTCCGTTCCAACAAACCTGAAATGCTTTTCTTAATAAAAAGGATCTGCTTGTTGCTTGTCCTAGTTATATGCATGCATATCTTACAGTAACCTGTAATGCCAGATTTGTGGAGCAACATTTTTATTGTCTAAACAAGTAAACAGGTTTGTGAGCTGGAATCATTCTTTAATTGTTTGAGTTTAGGTGCATATGCTTTCCACAGAAAAAAGTCCCTGATTTGCATGATTTCCTAAGAATTAGAATTGGCATAGGAGCCTCTTCTGCATCTATTTTTGAAACTTAGTTAAGTGGTTATTTCGAAATGAGCTACTTTTGGTACTCAATGTATGTATGTTTCTTTCAGGTGCTAGGTGGAAAAGTCCGCAGAAGGAAATTACTTTCACCCAAAGATAGGAATGTCCGTCCAATGATGGAAGTTGTCCGAGGAGCAGCCTTTGACATTTTACAAGTAATTTGTTGATGTCACTTTAATCATTGTTTCCCTTTTGATTTACTCATAGACCTTCACTGATTCATGATCATAACTTGCAGTCAGCTGGTGGTTCTCCTGCTTCACTTAGACCAGGTCGGTGGCTAGACTTGTATAGTGGTACTGGATCTGTTGGAATTGAAGCTATGAGCCGAGGATGTTCAGAGGTTGTCCAAAAACTCATGTTGAAACTTCAGTCATGATAGTCTAGACATGAATGCAGATAATCCCACAAAACACCCATTCATCTAATTACCTCTTCTAGTTTTATCACTTTTATTACAAGTGTTAGATAATCTGCTGCTCTCCCCAAATCTCTCTTTTGTCATTGGAGTATAGGATCAGGGACTGCTCCTTTGTTTCTTTTCATCTCTGCCTGTCTATATGACAGTAGCAAGTAGTATAATTGGTTGCCCAAGTAGTATGGGCAGCATGGCCCTTGGTTGGTAGATGACCTCATGTACTTTTGCCTAAAACCACTGTATATGAAAGGTAGAGGCATAGCTGCAACACCATTCACTAGTTTTGATGTGTGTGTATGCTCTGATCTCCTCTTCTTCAATTTTCCAGTGTGTGAGTGTGAGTGAGGGGTGTGACAATACACACCTGAGTGACAAACTAGGCTAACAATAACCTCATGGAATCTGTCTATGGTCATTTCGTTGGGGGGGGGTGCTCTAGTGGAAAATAAGAGCTGGTGTGCAAAATGCTACCGATCTGTGCATGTTACATAAATATTTCTTCAGTCACCTCATTTTTAACATCTTTATGGGCCCTTACACTGTAATCATCATTGATGGTAGCATGTAAAATTACAATATTTTCTTATGAAGCAATGAGCATATGCAGATCCTGAACAACCAATATGGTGGTTAAGACAAATTACTTATGTTGTTTTTATATATCCAAGCAAGGGCTACTGCATATGTGCCAACTGTTCATCATTCATGCACACAAGCACATCAAGTGCAGTGTATTTTTATGTTAAGAAACCGAGCTAGGACTACTGCATACATGCCAACTGTTCATGAATATTCATGATGATCTTTTCAAGGGTTGTCTAGTCTAATAGTCGAGAAACCGAGCTAGGTGTGTGTAGGCGGAAGTCTTCTTCCATGGATTTTCCCATGATTGTTGCATGAGGATCTATTTTAGGAAATGGGCTTAATCTTCCTCGTTAGTAACTCCGACAACCCCCACCACTTTGGTTGCCTATTCTTCTTATTTACGATGACACTTAGTTCCTCCTAGGTTGGTCAATTTTTTATCTAGTATTATAGCTATGGGATTGATTTCAAATGCTGACAAATAAAGTGTATAAAACCTTCATGAAGCTGCTAATTCTGAAATTGGATTTGGTGAGTGATGTGAACGAGAAGTAATGCAATATATCCATTGATTTTTTGGTCTTTTTTTATCTAGGCACATTTTGTTGAGATGGATCCTTGGGTCATATCTGAGGTCCTCAAACCAAATCTGGAGTGTACTGGATTTACTGATGTATCACACATACATATGCTCCGTGTTGAAAAATTCTTGGCCAATGCAGAAAAATCCCAAGGTAGGAATCTTCTTAGGTAACACATATGACTATTGTGGTATGACCAATGAGATTAACAGACAGCTGTGAGTGAACAAATGTACAATAAAATTCTATGATCAAATATCGTACAGAAACTAATATACTGATATTTGTTAGGAAAATTGTGGATTATTTTATTCAGATTGATATTTGATGTGAAAACTGCATTTTATGTAAACATTGTTCTTAGATGGAATGAAGATGTGCAGAAAATGCAAATGCGAAAATACCTTGATTATTAGCAGTGATCTGCATATCGTATTGTAAGGGGTAGAATGTCTGCTTAGCATCCAAGAAACAATTGCACCTTTATATTTTAATCATAATGACTTAAAATAATCAGGTTTGTAATGGGTTAAACTGATAAAATTCATATAATAAGTCATAGCAGCGGGGTGATTTGGATTCTTTTAACAGATTTTTTTTCTCTTCCCTAACACTTTCTCTTTATATCTCTCAGGTAAATATCCTTCCTTTGATTATATTAGTGTAACACCACCATATCTGGAGGTCAACTACAGCACACTACTCGCCCAACTTGCAAGGTCACCATTGGTTGGAAAAGATTGCTTCATCGTGAGTTCCTCATGCTACATAAACCAAACTACTTTTCCCCTATGCACATTTCTGACTTCATCTATGTTATTAGCTAGTTGAGTACCCATTGAAAACAGATATGGCTGAATCCTGCGGAAACCTTATAAAGGTGGGTTTGCCTTCTGCCTTGACTCCATTCAAGTCCTGATATGATGTAATGCTAAGCATGGATCCTGTAGTGCTTAGCTCTCTTGACGGTTGTTGCAGTTGCTCATGTATTCTCAAATGCTGCAGATAGCTGACAGGAGGTTTGGTAGGACCAACTTGCTAATATATGGGCCAACTTGGTCAGAGAAAAAGAGAAGAAGAGTTGATTTCTGAAGGGTTCAGGCAAAGCTTGCATACAAGGTGTACTATCTTATTTTCATGGTGCACATTTTAGGTCTTCGTCGCAGTAATACACTGACGTTTTATGCACATTTTTTTTATATCTTAACTCTTCACAATCTCTATGCAGGTGTAATGACAAAGAGGGCTTTCTGTACCATAACATCACTCGTGAAGAAGTGTAAATCACGGTTGGGCAAGGTTAAGGTTTGAACATTTGTACCAGAAATACTTGACCTACCAAGGCACAGGAAGGCGGTTGATCTTGGTTCTCTGGGTCTATCTCTGAATAACTTGCACAACACAGAGCGCTCACATTTCCCTTTCCTTTCTGGTCAGAGATCCACATCCAAGAAGAGGAAAAAAAAGGTCGTCTACCTTCCAAGCATCAGCATCAAAGTCACATTTCATGCACACCTTGGAAAATAAAAGAGATACGCATGTCCTACATTGCAATTCTAATTGATACCCTGTCTAGTATTCTTCGAGAGGGGCTTGTACACTTCTATCACTCTATCTACCCCATGTTTTCTGGGAGGTATGATAGCAAGAGTACCCAGATGTATCCGGTACTACGCTAGTTCAGCTTTTAGGCTGTTAACAATAATTTAACGCACTCATTCGCAGTACGTATGCCAATGATGTAGCCAATTAACAATCCCTCTCACGGTTTCACCTTTTGGTATTTTACAACAGCCTTGCGCTTCAGCCTTCCATGATATCGCTGGCAGGATAAAGACGTGCAAACAAAATGCGCGAGTGCAGCGATCCGAAGCAAGCAATCTCCTGATCCTTTCTTGCATTTCACGGTACGGTACGAGTCCGGCTGTCCCGGCATCTGTATATTAGTCGAATTTTTTTCCTTCCATTTGCAGCAACTGGACCTGCACACGTGCCATTTCATATTTCCTTTTGGTTAGCTATTCAGTTTAGTTGAGGCTAGAGAATGGAGAGCCTGTTCCTGCTGTACCAGCACTGAACTGTCAAATGATTCGGGCGATTGGTCTGCTGCATCGTAGTCCAGCTATCCACCCAGTCCCTGCATCTTTGGAGCGAGTCCCTGATCAGTTGGTTAATTAATCTCCCAGGACCGTTGTCTCTGTATGACCTTGCCGCGGATCAAGTCGAGATGTTTAGATTGATCACACGCTCTGCTGCGTACTGTGCATGTTAGCCTGGCGTCGTGGCGCGGCAACTCGTTTGTCCCTTTCTCTGGATGCTACATTGGTGTTCGAACTTGAACGTGTGAGAGCTTTGTGCTTTGTGGTGGCTGCACTTTTACTGCGGTAAAACAGCTTGCGGCTTATAGTTGTCCTGTGAGTGAGAGAGAGAGAGAGTGTGTGTTTATTGCAGCACTTGTTTTGCTTTGCTTGTTTTGTGGTTCTATCGCTTCTCCGATTGATTGTGTTGGAACTTGTAGGTTGCTCGTGGTAGTTATTGCTGTCTTTCCATTGTTTTCTTTTAGTTATGTAAAATCTTAGGGTCTGTTTAACTCCGCTTATGGTGGGACGCCTTAGATCTCTCAGCATAGCAGGTCCCAAGCTCGAGTAAAGGAGGAGGGTTATGTTAGGCACGGCGAGCCAATGTAAAAACTTAGATGAAACCCAAAAAATCCCGTTGGGGCGTAACCCTCTTAACGACGCGCCATGTCGGAACCCGGGTATGGTGTTAAATGAGCAAGGGCCAGGTCGTCACCCCCGTGACGCGTCGTGTCACGATCTGGACACGGTGTCAAGTGAGCAAGGATCGGGTCATCGCATCCTTGGTGGCGCGCCACATCGGCGCCCGGGTGTGGTGCAAAATGAGCAAGGGTCTTCACACCTACCTCGGTAAGTGCGAAGGGTAAGGAAGCTAGTTGAGCCAACTAGGATCCGTTTAGGTAGCTGAAATATAGGGTCCCTTACGGGTAAGTTAAGAGAGTTAGTGGACACAGCGGTTAGGAGGCGTGTAAACATCTTATGCGTCCAAGAGACTAAATGGAAGGGGCAGAATGTGAAGGTGGACAATACCGACTTCAAGCTCTGGTACATAATGACAACTTCAAATAAAAATGGAGTGAGTTTTGATTGATAAGAGCCCCAAGGATGGTGTGGTGGAGGTGAGATGGTAAGGGGATAGGATCATCTTAGTTAAACTTGTCATTATCATTAGTGATATGGTCCGCTTCTTTTTTCATCCTAGTGTTTTCCTCACATTCAAATTTAAATGCCATGATGAGAGTGCTAAGCATAGCCATGGTCTTAAACGTAATTAGTGTGTATGCCCCAGAGGCTTAGATGCGCTTTTTTCTGGAAAGACTTAGATCGCTTGGTTAGAGCTGTGCCTAGTAGCGAGAAGCTCTTTATAGGAGGTGATCGTAATGGCCATGTAGGTACATCAAGTGCAGGTTTCGAGGTGGTTCATGGGGGTTTCGGATATGGTAGTAGGAACCAGGAGGGGAGAGGAAGTCTTAGACTTCGTCATAGCTTTTGATCTGATGATAGCTAACACTTTCTTTCGTAAGAGACAGTCTCATTTAATGACCTTTAGTAGCGGCTAGTACTCTAATCAAATCGACTTTTTCCTTACAAGAAGGAGGGATAAACGAACATACGTGGACTGTAAGGTGATACCTGAAGAATGTGTGATCGCTCAACACAAGCTGGTGGTGGCTGACTTCCGCTTTCTGGTGCAAGCTCGTGGGAACAAACAAGCTAGGGTTGCTAGAATGAAGTGGTGGAAATTAGAACATAAGGCATCAAAGGTCTTTAAGAAAAATGTCATTGAAGAGAGCCCTTGGAAGGATGAAGGCGATGCAAACAACATGTGGGAGAAAATAACAGCATGCGTTCCGAAGGTTGCTTTCAGAGGTGCTTGAGTGACCAAAGGGAGCGGATGCGGCTCGAAAGACACTTAGTGGTGGAATGAAGATGTGCAAAAGGCTATTAAGGAAAAAAGGAGTGCTATAAGCGTTTATATCATGACAGGTGTGCAGATAATATAGAGAAGTACAAGGTGGCAAAGAAGACTGCAAAACGAGCGGTGAGTGAGGCAAAGGGGCGGTCCTATGAGGACCTTTACCAACATTTGAGTACGAAGGAAGGAGAGAAGAATATTTATAGGATGGCTAGGGCTCGCGATAGGAAGACAAGGGACTTCAACCAAGTCAAGTGCATAAAGGATAAGAGGGAGTAGCTCTTGGTGAAGGAGGATGAGATCAGACATAGATGGCAAGAGTATTTTGATAAATTGTTCAATGGTGAGAACGAGAACACCATCGTTCAGCTCGACGACTCGTTTGACGACACTAACAGGTGCTTTGTGCGGATGATTTAAGAATTGGAGGTTAGAGAAGCCTTGAAAAGGATAAAAGGGGGCAAAGTGATGGGCCCTGATGGTATCCCAAATAAGGTGTGGAGATGTCTTGGGGATATAGCTATAGTATGGCTAACCAAGATGTTCAATAATGTCTTTCGATCGAACAAGATGCCTGAGGAGTGGAGAAGAAGCATATTGGTACAAATCTAAAAGAACACGGGAGATATCCAAAGTTGTACTAATTATCGGGGAATTAAGTTGATGAGCCACACTATGAAGTTATGGGAGAGAGTCATCGAGCAGCGCCTGCAAGAAACGACACATATATCAACAAACCAATTTGATTTCATGCCCGAAAGGTCAACCACAGAAGCAATCTTCTTAATAAGACAAGTTATGGAGCGGTTTAAAGAGCAGAAGAAGGACCTTCACATGGTTTTCATTGACTTGAAGAAGGCTTATGATAAGATACCAAGAAATATTATGTGGTGGCCTTTGGACAAACATAAAGTCCCATCAAAGTGCGTGACCCTCATCAAGGACATGTACAACAATGTTGTGACTAATGTTTGAACAAACGATGGTAACACAGATTACTTCTTGATTAAAATTGGACTTCATCAAGGGTCAGTCTTGAGCCCATGGACGAGGCTACCAGGAACATACAAGGGGATATCCCTTGGTGTATGTTGTTCGTTGATGATATAGTATTAGTGGATGAAAGCCAGACGGGAGTAAATAAAAAACTAGAGTTATGGCGGCAGACCCTTGAGTATAAAGGTTTTAGATTGAGCAGAACTAAAACCGAATACATAAGATGTGACTTTTGTGGAGCTGCATAGGAGGAGGGAGATGTGAGTTTGGAAGATCAAGTAGTGCCTAAGAAGGATAATGTAACACCTCTGGTGTTACGAGCTTGCTTAGCACCAAAATTAAGACCTAAAAGAGATTAGCAAAACAAGTTCGCTAGGTTTAATAGTTTAAAACTTATCTGAAATGATAAACAAATTCTATGTGATTCACTTTTGTGGTTGAGAAAAATCAAAATAAATATTGTTAACTAGTGCTCTTGGGAGCTCAAAAATCAAATTTAAAGTTAAGATAAGCTCTTTTCGTTAAGACGGCAAACACTTGAACTTCCGTTTAAAGTACTATTTTTGATTATTTATTGTGGGCAAAATAATTAATTAATGCTTAAATATTTTGTTCTTATGGATTAGTATGAAGTATGGACCATTGCATGAAATACTTGTGGGTTGGAGTTAATAGGGTTTAGGCCTTTTAAAAATTGTAACAAAAGTGTTAATGGCTGTTAGTTCGAACTGAACCTTAACTTTTCTAAGTATTGAAAAAGTAGTAAGACAATGCTATCTTGACATTTAATTTCTAACAAAAATGTTTAAACACTAGCTGCATGTTTTGGTATTGTTGATTGCATCAAAGTGAGTACTTGGGCATGTCATAGGTGGTTGTTGTGTTGGATGTCACGTTGATCTCGTAAAAATTGCCCAAAATTCGTTAAAACACGCTATGAACTATGTCGTTGACGTTCTGTTCATGAACTGGCACTTCGGGGATGAGCTCAGGTTGGCATTCGTTTATCTCCCTCCCTAACTGCTCTTTGATCTTGACGATTGCTTCGTTAGATAATCGGTAGTGTGGACTTTAGAGTAGTGAAATTGGTTGAGTTCTAGACGTGAGGATCAACAACTCTTGAGTCGCTTTAAAATGCGTACGTGACACCGATGGCGGGCGGTCGGCCTGAGTTCGCAGTCACCACGTGCACACGTTGCCGATGCCTGGCCGCTCCTAGCCACGATCGTGCTCATGGCCAGCCTTACTGGCTGCCGGCCGCACGTCGAGCTAGGGGTTGGCCACGGTCCCCTTC